GACACACATAGCGGAGCCAGCCTTTCGCATCCTCTCTCGGGAACGTCCAAACAACCTAAACCCATAACTCACGAGGGATCTGCCGCCTTGTCTTCGAAGGGAACCCGCTATTTTCTCACGTCTCACGAAAATAGCTACTTTTATCGTCGCGCACAAAGGGCCGGTTGACCGGCTCGATCTGAGTTTGCATCGCGAATAAAAATGAAGATCTACGTTACGTCCAAGAGCAAAAAGCAGAGCTGTAATCATTCCGTTATTCCGTCAACGACAACGGCGCGCGCGGAATAATGTATTCACCGATACACACGGGTTGACTAATCCCCGCGTTGCGAGTTGCGGGCATAGAAATAGGACATGCATTTCATTTCACTGTTCCAAGGTCCTGACGTAACAGAGTTCGGCGTTTAATCGGCGTAGCTGCGTAGGCAGGAAAGCCGGTGCCGCGCGGTTGCACGACATTTTCGACGCATTGCCGCAACGTAACGGGCGAAAGCCTCGCATTCCTCTTGTGCAACGTTTTTCGGCGATGGAAGGTCTCGTGACGACGACAGTAGAATGCCGCGGCAAGGCTGAATTACGTCTAATCGCTTCTAAGAACCTGCCAGCCGAATGAGCGGCCTCTCTTTTAAATGGCATGTAATGGCAACTCGCGTGCATGCGAAACGGAGAGAGTGTCGAAAAATCATCCGACGTAACCATAATAATAACCGTCGATTTAATTTAAACCCGAAAGATTTTTATTAGAAATACCCTCGAAATTCCGCGAAAAGTAATTAAATGTCACAAAATTATTTGCACCCGCGATATATTTCGTGAGAAATGGTGGGAATTTAATGACGCATTTTCTGCAGTTTGGCAAACAGCTTTTCGTCAGAGCAAAAACTACCAAAGAGTATATCTCCCTCCAGATATATTGTGATTTCTATAATCCCGTACCTCCTCGCGGTCGTTGATAGTGTTTGCCTTCATCAAGCAACCCCCCTCCCCCCGTGCCTTTCGCTGGTGATGTGAAACCGTCATCCAGCCGAACGTCGTCGCAGGCACGTCGCCGCGAAGGCGCACGTGGAATTAGTACTCGGAAATGACGAATTAATGTTTAAGCGAGTCGCCGCTTGTGCTGCATGAGCTTCCTCGCCGAAGTTCGTTGCACGCCTGGATGAAACTTTTACGAGGCACGCGCACGAAATTGCAGAAGGGTTGCTAGGGGTCCTCCTACGAGGAGAATTAGAAAAAAGAGAGAGGAGGAGCGGACAGAGGGAAGGGGAGGGAGTAAAAGGAGAAATAATCGGCCGAGGGAAGGCGAGGGCAGGCGAGGGCAGGCGAGGGCAGGCGAGGGCCGGCTCGGCGACGAGACATGCACCTGTGTGTGAACCCGCACGTGTCCGATGCAACTGCACTACCCCTATCCTCCCTTCCTCCCTCGCATGAAGTTTCATTCATAATTCAGCCGGGCGAATTAGACGAGCGAGGGACGCGAGTTCTCTCGCGTGTCGTCGTCTTCGTGTCGCGAAGGGCGCAGGTAGCGAGAGAGCGGATTAAGCAACATTCGAGCATTCGACAGAACGAACCGAGCGAGAGACACGTTAGCCCCCCCCCCCCCACCCGCGATAGAACGCTTTCACTTTCCGCGTCATTTCGTACGTCGCTCAGCTATTCTTCCACCTTTTTTTTATTACCGCTCACGAGCGGTAACCGGGCACTCGCCACGTAATTGGTGCGCTATGACTACATAAATAATGAGTTGACGATGGTAGAAGCATAAATAAACGACACTATGATGTCGCGTCGCCTTTGCAAGCGTTGTAGAACGATCGAGGACTCGGGGACTGAGACGATAATGAATTTCGTTTCGAGTGAGACGTGCTATCGAACGCCACGTATCGTACGATCACGCGTGCGTGTCTCTCGCATCGAATAAATGCAACTTACTCGGTTAATGATTCTTACAGTACAGCCGTAGTAAATTTCGAAATTTCTTTTGCATGAAATGCAGGCACAAATCAATATCCTTTCCCTACTCAACGTAATACAATCGACGCGACACTGAGCCATATTGATCGTAATAGAAAGTCGGGAGGAGTAGCATTCTGGAATCTGAGAGAAAGTATTGTGGACAGTTAGAAAAAGGAAACGTAAAGGAAAAAATTAAGTATACAGTCCTACGATCGCGTGGAATGCTTTCGAAGTCTCTCCCTGTGGCTTCATTTCGATGCTGGTCTTATATAACTTTGCCGATATACGATTCGTCAGCGGCGAATGCAATCAGCGGCAAGATCAAACGTCAAACGACTTACAAAAGGAATATAGAGTAGCCTCTTTGTACTTTCTTCAAATAATCACGGTGCCAGTCCGAAAGATAATTTCAGAAGAAATTCTTATCTTCGACCGCTGAACGTTTTTCACGTTGAATCATTAATTTACATGTCTAAACAGTAATCTAGCTATGGCACGTACGAGAAGATTGAGAAGATGTCGTTTCGCGGGCACAGGGTAATAAAAAGTAACTCCGATTCGAGGCCGCTTGAGAAGGTTCCATAAAATTCAAATCCGTGGACACGGGATTTGAAATTTGGCACGTGGCACCTCGGTTCTTTCCTCGCTAAATGGCCTGCGCAATAGTGCCGCGATGTCACATAAATTCCCCGCCGAGGCGACGATCCGGACGGCGAAGCGGTTTCTAACGACTCCTTGCGAAGGATCTAACAAAAAAGTAACGCTTCAACGACGGCCGCTCGGTGAGCATAACTGTACTCCCGATAGAGTAACTCAACAATGCGGCGGTCACGATTTTTCTCATCGCGCGGCTACGGTTCTCTCGTCGCATTCCTTCGCATACGACCAGAGCTTCAAAGAGCTCTGGCTACACTTACCACGGTCACACCTACATTAGCGCAATAGAGTGTTCCCGCTTTTCAATGGAGTTCCACCCTACTTTTCTTTATAATTTGACTCTTCAGCGATTCACGTCTCTACGCGTCTCTGTGCCTTTGTTCGCGTGGTTTTCGAATAATTGAAGTGCGGCCACCAAGTCCCTTTGTCATTTCATCATGAAGCAACGATGATAATCTGATTTTTTTTTCTCTCGATACGCTCCGAGTATCTTTGAGAAGTAACGTAGCTACGAATAACGTAGCTGAAAGTGCAAAGGAGGGCTTTCGAGACGACCGCATGGACGACCCGAACTTTGGTACATTAATAAACAGCTCCTCCGCCTATCAGCGGACTTCTTTCACTCTTCCTTGAGCACGTTTAACATGCACGGATCGCCTCCCCCGTGTCCTTCCCGTTTCTTTGCCCTTTCTCCTCTGCGGGCTTAATGTCAATAACCGTTGCATTAGTTGACGCTTCGTTACTTTCTTTGCGGCGGGCGAGCGAGCGGGCGATTAAAAATGGTCGGGGTGTCATCCGCGGTGGCACACGGCCGCCGCGACGCCGACGTCGGGTCGCGTTGGTGTTGGTGGCCGGCGTCCGTCGCGCCTGTTTCACGTGGCGTCGTCGTAGCGTCACGCTCGGTGATTTGCTCGCCGGAGCAAAAGATGTTCCCAGTGGCTGCACCGTCGCCTGCATCCTCTTTGTACACTTTGTTCACACCGTGAAGGCAAGTCGTAAGGCATCACCCTGTCCCAGGGCACGGACGGGGAGGCCCGGTAAATCCACGTACGTTCACGTACGGCGTCGTCGCTCTCTCTTTCTGCACGTTAGAGCGTCGCCGAAGCGGAGACTGACGTACACGTGGACGAAAAAAGATCCACACGAAAACCATCCCGAAAACCGTCGTATTATCGGCTACGAATTCTTTGATCAGTCTGAAATCGATTTTCCTCCTCCTCCACCCCCTCCCTCTTCAAAGTCAAGAAATTGAATTGGGAAGAAAGCTTTTAATTCGTTTCCAAGCCCGTCAAAAATTTCATAAGAGGGGAACGTGGGACAGTTCGGAGAGCGTGCGCGCAGCGGGCTTGTTTTTACGATGCTCCGTTTTATCTCTCGCCGAGATGACTCGGAGAGAGAGAGAAGCGGTAGGAAAATAGTACAAGGATGAGAAGAACGCGGCAGTTACAACATCCGTGGTCAGGCCCCACGTGCAGCCGCGATGATGCAACGTCCATGCATCTTGTAACTCCGCAGCCAGAAGGCCTTCTTACCCGGCACATTGAACCAGATTAAAGCCAACGGCACACGATACTATTCTTCCTACTGGATTGCTTGCGAGAGCCAATAAGGATGCAGAGTTTTAGATCAGATTACTTCAGGCTGAATCCTGATTGGATCTCTTAAACAATCCAGTAGGAAAAATAGTATCGTGTGCCGTTGACTTAAGTCTGTCGGAGCGAGAGCGTTTATCACTGTCTGACAGAGCAACGTATCGCCCAATTACGTTTCGGCCAAGTGTCGTGACGAAAATTTAACTTTCCGAAACTGCCATGGTACGCGCGAAGCAATTTATCATTCGCATTCACGCTGTATATTTTGGCGACGAATCAAAACGCGTGCGCATATGAGGTTCAACAAACCTGCGAGGTCTTTACTCGACTCGTGCCCGTTCACTCGCAACATCCTTAATTTCACGCGTCAATAGACTTACCTATCTGTTACCCGCCAAGGTTTCGGGATCTAACGCTACTACCCGTGAACACGTCAGAATCGATGTTTCGCGCATGGTCCATTAGAGAGCTATCGCGCGGGTTGGGTAAAAGAATTTTACCGCGCGAAGCTAAGCTAAAGGCCGAATCAGACTAGCAATTGTCGACGCGGATTGGATTGGGATTGGCCACTGTCCTCTAGCCAATGAGAGCAAAGCAGTCGGCGATTTAACCGACTCTCATTGGCTGGAAGGCAATCGTCAATCGCCAATCCCAGTTCAATCCGAGTTGGTAATTGCTGATCTGATTCGGCTTTAAGACGACTCGGCCGGGTCGGATCTCCGCCGTATCAAAAGTCGCGAGCACGCCGCTCGCGTAAGTACGGTGTCTCGTGATGCAAAAACAATGAATGGCACTCACCGCCGCCGACGGTAGAGACAGTGCTGGCCTTGTGGATCTTCATGTTCCATGTAGTGGGTGGGATGGACGCGGCGGAGCTCTGATCGGAAGTCGGCGGATGAGCGGCCGGCTTCGGCATCATCGACGCCCCTTGCGGCAGATGGTCCGAATTCGGTCTGTACGAGCCCGCGTCAAACCTCCGCCCGAGAAAAATCTCGTCATCCCGCTTCGACAATCTTTCCGCCAGCTTCTCCGTTCTCTCCCGATCGGCCAGCTCCACCGGCTCCTGTTTTATTCGAAGATCTGCGAACACGGGACCAACATCTTTGTCTGCGGGACCGACCGGTGGGATCTTTCGACCGATTTTACATCTCGGCTCCATTCGTCGTAGGTTTATCTCACCTTCGGCAACGCTTTCCTTGAGATCACAGTTGCTGCGTTCCTCGGACCGCGCTCGGTCCAGCTGCTGTTCCAGTTCCGTGGGCGTGTGTGGCGCGGTGTGGGGATGCAGAGGAGCCTCGGAGGGATGGGTGAACGATTGGTAGAAGTGGTTCTCCAGCAAGAGTGGATGCGGGGCGGACGCCGGCCGAAAGGCAGCGCCGTCGCGCAATACGCTCGCTCTACCCAGCGTATCGACGTCGCTCGGCGATCTAAAAATACGCGGTCGCAGCTCACAGAATCTTATTATGCGAGAGTGAATTGGCAAGAACGCGTAACACAGCGTGAACATTTGATAAACACGTAAATTATAGCGTAATGTGAGTCCAAGAAACCCTTCATACGATAAAGCCCGGGAGATTACACGCACTTAATTCGCGCAACGTGATCGCGATTCGGCGAGAAACTAGTTCGATCGAAAGATGTAATATTCCGATCAACTGAGATGCAAATCGGGAAAAAATTGTAAAAACAGTGGTCTCGTCGAAACAATGATGTGTCCTCGTCGCGCTCTGCCGTTCACGAATTGTTGTATATCGACTAATCTCTTTAGCAAGGTCGTATCTCCATTTTACGCAACTTCTGGTTTTTGTGCTTACACGCTGATTGTGGTCCAGGAACTGCGTAAAATCGAGATACGACCTTGCGAAAGAGATCAGTCGATACATCATCGCCATCGGAACGTAGGAAGGTCGCTTGCACCGCCGTCGCGCTTCTCACGAAAGTACTTGGCGGAAGTCCTTACCTCATCAGCCTCTTCGGCGGACTCTCGTAATAGTGAGAGGTGGAGTACATGCTGGGCGCGATGTACTCCGGGATGGGCGACGGCGCCGAGGTGTCGGTCCTCTTCATGATGTTCCTGACCATGGTGGAGTCGCCCGGCTCGCTTACGTCGCTCATGTCACCGACGCCGCCACCGCCGCCCCCGTTGCCGATGGTACCACCGACGCTACCGCTGCCGATGCTATCCCCGACGCTAAGGCTACCGCCACATCCGCTTCCGCCGCCCCCGTCTCCGCCGTTACTCTCCGTCTCCCTACAGGTGCTGTTGTTGTTGTTGTTGTTGTTGTTGACGTTGTTGTTCTGCGTCCGCACAGATGTACGTGTTGTTGCGGCGTGCGCCAAGTTCTCATGCTCGCGGATCGACAAACCCTTAACCTGGATTTTTACGATGGGAATCATGGACGAGCGAATACATACCATTCTAGAAATACATTGCTAGAAAAGGCCAGGAGGGGTACTTTGTCTAGATGAAAATCGGAAACAATTCTAAAACAAGTCGCCTCGTCAAACTAATGACGTTTCATCTTTGCGAATATATTGCTAAAAGAGGCAATGCGAAAATATCACGAGCGTTAAGGTAATTGGAGAGAATTACGAAGACGTTTGCCGTATTTGACAAGGTTGCATAAGTATTATGGATTATGTTAATGAACATTCCGCGCAACAGACGTCAGCGGTACTTTCTGCTCCGTGTGTATTAATCGAGCGAAATCGTGAGTTTTGCGGTAAATATTGTATTTGAAAATAATGAACCGAGGCGCGCGATACAGAGTTCAATGGCGACTGCGCGTTTTCGAGGAGAGCAGCTTGACAAATGATTTGACTCCTCTTTTACGACACACGAATGACACACGGAGACTTAGGCCTAGGCGCGTCTCAGAGCCGTGTCGGGGCGCCGCGCCACGTGTACAATTATTCGGGAGGACATTACTTGGGGTCATTATTTACGGAAAAAGAGACAGGCACGTACTTGAAGGCATTCAGCTGCCTTGAGGAAGGAGTTGAGGGATTCCTGGGACACATGTACCTCTCCACGGTACATGAATTCGAGGAGGGACGCCATATTTTGGGCACTCGTCCCATCGAGAATAACGATCAATCCCGCGGGAGAAGGCGGCATTCCTTCGAAGAGCTCCTGAAAATGCTTGCTGCATGCTGCGAGGATTAACTTGTGCGCCTTGAACGTAACTCCTGAAACACAAACAGGATGCACCACCTTCAGTCTTCGCTCGATCTTCACATGACGTAGAAACTAGTACAGAAACGTACTGCTGTCAAGAGAAAACGTTCACAAACGTTTTCATATAACTTTTTAAATGTACGTCGCAGAGAAAATGCGCTCGGATACCGGAGCTGCGCGCTTCTACTCCGCATCGTCGCGCAAGAGTCTATCGGCGTCGCGAGATTAGCAGGCCCGAGAAGCTTCTGGTGCACGCGCAAGACGCCCGGGCCTCTCCTTTCTCACGGCTTACAATTGTAAACGGGCACCATCGCGCAGCGGACGGAGCGCGGGAATTTCAGCATGTAAAGGAAGCCGGTGACCGACGAACCCTTTTTTTTCAACCGGCCCACCATTTCCCACTCTACGACATAAAGGAACCGAGGCTAGCGCGCCTGACGTCGATGCCCTTTCTCGCAGCCCGCTGCGTATGTAGGTCATCTTCGGACACGATCTTCCGTAATTCGTAATTCACGCGCGCAAGTATAATATAATGCGCGCCCGCCGGCGCGCGGGCGTGTAATATGACACGGGCGACCGTTGCATGTAAAGCGAGACATCCAGGCACGGCTGCGCATAAAGAGGAAGAAAAAGGCCGACCGAAGCCTCCGCGATGTTCGCGAAACATCCCGAAAAGTATCTTTTCAAATTCGCTGTCGCGTTTGTCTCGGATTTAAAAGCACTTTGATGCGATTTCTTCGAATCCACCTCGAGGTGGAGTTAATTTCAAGCAAAATCAACTGCGCACACGAACGTATATATTTTGTTATCGGTGCACGGAAAGAATTTTGTGTGTAAAATTTCACGTAATTGTCATAAAATTCATCAAAGCGCCACGTTGTCTGATTTTCAGGGTAAATTTTGAGAGAAAATTCTCTCCGCGTAGCTTCGCGTCACCTCTTCCCGCGCCTCGTTGCTTCGAGACGATTCCGAATCAGGTGAACGGGATGTTTCGCGGAAGAGCTTCATGCGTTTAGACGCGGTAAGGAGCCTCATCGGCAGTGCCCTCCGAACAAGGAAATCAAGTGCGAGAGGAGAAAGGAGGTAGGTGACGAGGGCACGACCAGGTGGTTCAAAGCACCTGTCTTTCCGAGTGGCTCCCGTACCGGGTACCACAAAGTGTATCCAACTCTTTGAGCTTCCTCTCAGCGCGGGATCATATTTCCGTGTACTCCCCGTTGCGCCCAATTTCAAACCTCTTATCCGACCGAATATTGGATTCGCTGCGTATCCTGTAGGAGAGCGGATTCAACGACTCTGTCGTAGCTCGCGTTCGTCCGCCGCGTTCATCGAAATACGTATATCGCGCCGTAAACTCGTCTCGCTCTAGAATAATGAGAGACGCGCCGTGTCTCTTCGCCCAACTATCGTATATACCACCGATGTTTCGAATAAGAATCGACAATCTCTGCACTATCGGGTCGCTATATATTGACAATCCCGCTGCTCACAACTTGCTCGCTACAAAATAGGCGCGTAATAGGTGTTCGGGCTAATTACATAATTATGCAACTTCTAATTCGCCATTCAAGCCAAGTTACGTGTGGGCGTTTCGCGACTATCTCGTTCTCGCCTTCTCCAGCTCTCTAAAAGTCGATCAGTGGATTATCACTGACAACAGTGAATATTCACTGATTTACAGTTATAAGTATAGCACTGCATTAACCATAATGAACTGATTGATTTTTAGAGAGAACGGTGATATCGAATTCACATTTTAATAAATTACAAGTATAGGCTACCCACATCTTGCATTAGACTCGCATTAGCCGTTTTCTATATGTTGTTTGGTGACATCGACGTCCGCAAGTGCCACGGAATTCGGATGTACCGGCACAAAATGCTGCGCAACGAGAGCGAGAGAGAGAGAGAGTCAACGAGCACGAAATGGGATTCTCCGGCTTTGCCGGGTGAGGAGCAATGAATTTCTAGTCTCGCGAGAAGCTGTCGGCAGTCAGTAGCGCGGAGATGCGCACGATTCCCTCCGTGGCCCTCCCCCGTACATCCGCAAAGTGCGCTCCGTACAACAGCCGGACGGCGGGGCGGCCCGCCGGCACACTTGTGGAAATAATGAAATATGCAGAGCTCACACCGGCGTATAGTCCCGGGACTATTAATAAATTCTGTAATGCGCCGCGTCGCGCAGAAGCAGGCCCACGAGATGCTTCTCACCATCGACGTACAGAATGGACTGGGCATTACGCGCATTACGTGCCAGCACACGCTCCGAAGCGAGAGAGAAACACAATAGGATATATCTGTCACTGTCTAACATAGGGCCGTCTCGTTGACCATCAAAAAACGGCCCTACGTTAGACAGAGAGGCAGACGTCCTACTGTGTTTCTCTCTCGCTTCGGAGCTTGCGCTCGCAAGTCGCGCGTAACGTTCGGTCCATCCTACAGGTTTGTTTTCTCTTCATGCACTGGTGAAACTAGTGCAGTAAATTAGAGTAAGACAAGGATACATTTTCTCATTCCAGCTTACTGCACTAGTTCACCAGCGCAGGAACGGAAAACAAACCTTATACGTCGATGCTTCTCACGCACATGCGTCGTCGTTCCCGTTATCGGGCCGCATGCAGAAATTGTACGCGCGACATGTCGCAAAGAGCCTCGGCGGGACGTTGCGTAACGCGGCAAGAGGCTCCGAGGACGTGTTTATGACACGCCGCGCAACGCCCGTCATCGGCTCGCCGAGCGAGCGGGAGTGCGGTTATTACTGAATGAGCGAGTAGAGATAACGCGCGAGCACACAACTCTCGGCCGCGCGTATCTATTTAGATATTGTTCGCAGGCGGGGACTATATTTGGGAAGCGAGCGGCGACGTTGTCGCAGCGAGGGGGTGTCGATTATTGGACGAGCTTGACCTGGCGACGTCGGCACGAAAGATAAAAAGGGGGGTCGCCGTTTAAAATACTCGTTATGCAATGCGCCAGGCGTTTCTACAAAAGTGACAATGGAGACTGCGTGACGGTTCAATTTATTTCGCACTTCAGCGCGTTGTCGGATCTTCTTGGAGATCCGCGCGTCATCGAAAACCGTTCCGATGTTACCATCCGCAACGTGCACGTGTCGCCTACGTTAGCCGAGGGATACGTTGCAAATATTGTCACTTCGACGGGACTCCGCAACGGCTTAATAACGAGGGAGCGAGATTGCCGGCGGCGTGACTACCATCACGAAACTTGCAAATAAAACGCGCGTAGTTACGCAACAGTGCAATGCACTCTTCGCGGGCAATCTATTCATATTCCAAGGCCAGCCGGTAGAGCTCTTTGGGAGTTAGGGTTTTCGACGGAGCCTCTTACGACGGTCATCGTTCCCCCTACTACGCAATAATAATTCGAGAGCCCCGTGTACGTGCACCGTGACCGAATGCGTGTAGTAACCACGCAACGTAGAGGTGAAGCCGGCAATTACGGGCTTGAGCTCAATGTCAATCGCGCGGCGATGTCAGCGACCGATATGCCCGAAAAGTTGCCGCGATATTTAACGAAGGACAGCCCCAGAAAAAATTTTATGCTGCAGGGGGCATCCAACCCGCCCCCTCCTGTGCCCCTAGGACAAGCTCGACGTAACAAATATAATGAACGTAACGTCGTGGAAAAGAGACGTCTAATCTTGTACAAAATGAGGATCCCCTTGGCGTCGATCGACGGCGATACTTTTCGTATCGAGAAATTCAAGATTACATTGAACGAACGTGTCAACAAGTCCTCCCGAACGATCGGAAAATCACGGGGCGCGAAGCCGGTCGTCTCCCCGGCGCGGTGCGCTCCGCATTTCGCGAGCAGATAAGACCGGTCGCGCCGATTTGATTAGAACAGAGACAAAAGTCTAATATGGAGGAAGGCGGCCAAGGGAAGGGAGCAGCGGTCAATGCCCCGTCAAGGTCGACAATGCAGAGTGTGCTAGCGAATATGTGTTCGCCGTTGTCGTATCGGCTCGATTCGGCTCGGTTCGTTTCAGCTTCGCTCGTATGAAAAATTGACAGGCCAATCGTGGGCCCGGGCTTCCTCTAGGCACGGCCACTGGCCGCGTGAGACCAAGGCCGCCTTCTTCGCACATAGCCCAAGTTCGGTGCACGGCACCGGCGAAAAGCGCGATACCGAGAGAAAAAAAAATACGAGGGGGGACCCTCCTCGGTGCGGGGGAGAGGAGATACCGCTCGCGCATACCACACGCGCATCGCGAGAACTGGCAAGAAACGACACGTGTAGAGACGACCGTGAATCTCGAGGTTGCCCCCGCGATAAATCGCGGCGAGCACGCGTGTGCGTATATGTACGACACGGCGTGCGACATATACGCGCCGACGAGCGTAGGAAGAGCGCTTGGGGGACGCGGAAAATAGACGCCCGCCTCTTTGTCCGTGAATGTTAAATCACGCGCGGCTCCTCGCCTCCCGCGTGAGCTTCGGACGCACCGCGTGCGAGCGCGCGATCTTTGTTCTACGAAAATTCACCCGAGGGCGGGTCCGATTTCCGTGAGAATCGCCGCACCGGAAGAAAGGCGAGTGAGAACGCATCCTAATTCAGTACGGCAACGACTCCTCGGTCGGAGAATAGGACCGTGGCATTCAATTAACATTAAAACGCGATAGCGAGACGTTCCTTTCTCAATTAGGGCGTTATCTTACGAAGTAATCGTCTTCCGAATGGAAGGCGAGCGCCTACCTCGCCGACTTGATTTTCGGCGACGTTGGTACCGCGGAAGATATATCCCCCCCCCCCCCCAGGAGGAGCGCATCTAATTCCGGTCTTCTTGGCCGGCTAATCTTGCCGAAGGAAACCTCCAACCCGGAAGGGGTACGTGTGGCAGGATACTCTCGGTGGTTGCCACTTTGTAAAGTGGCGTCCGAAAAGGCCAGCGGTATCCGTGGTTGGATCTGAACTCGGGTCTTTCCGTGAATTTATTTACTAAGCAGCGCACAATTCTCTGCGCCACGCTCGCCACTTCTAATTCCGGTCG